CCTGCCTGTCTGTCCCTCCATCTAACTAAGGGCTATATCCATGCACTTTGGAAGTACCTGGGAGGCTTCAAAATATGTGGATGCCTGGGCCCTCTCCGTGCTAATGAACTCACAGTCTCTGAGGACGACAGGCCCAGGCCTCAGTGTCTGTGCAGCTTCCAGGTGATTCCAACATGCAGCCTGGCCTGCAAACCCCATGTGCAGAGGGGGCCTGGCACTCAGGGAAGTGAGTTTCCGGAAGCTGGGGCTGGGTCAGTTCCATGTCCTATGCACTAGGGCAGGACTGGACCTCCTCTTCTGTTGTCACAATCCAACAACTAGCACGTTCCGGGAAAGACACTCTGACAAACGGGATACGCTGTTTAACATCAGCATATTAAGGGGCAAAAGCAGGTGCACACAGGAGATTCGAACAAGTACCAGAGCCTTGGCTTGGGGCGTTAATAATAAGAAACACATGTAGAGCTCACCAGTGCCAGATGCTGTTCTAACTGCTTCCTGTCTGTCAACTGTACAACAGCCCACCTGTGATGGAGCTAGGATTAATACCATTTTACAGGGCAGGAAGGCACAGAGAGGTTAAGTGACTTGCCCAAGGCCACACAGCAGGTATGCAGTGAAGCCAGGATTCACACCAAAGCAGTCACAGCATGCTACGCTGCCTCCAGATTCAAAACTCACCTCCCCCACCTCACACTGCCAGCAGAATCCAACTCCAACTACCTCAGCCTCATGATTTTTCTCTTGACTTTAGGAAAGAATTCTCATATCAGACCTGAATCTCCTAATCTCCCATTCTCCACCTTCAGGAGAATCTGTCATTGGGATGGGGTTCTGCTGAGAAAGGGGCCTCTTGGTATCAACACAACTTTGTTTTCCTTATTGTACAATTTTTAGCACCTAAGATGCCCTCCCCAATCCCTGAACCCCACATCTGACATGGGCTCAGGGTTCGAGGCTTAGTGGAATTTGAGGGTGAAGTAGAAACGCCAGATGGGGGGTCAGGAAAAGGGTCATATTCCCTAGAGCCCTGTGTACCCCCTATCACTTCGGGAGGGGCCAAACACCCTGTCACTTTGGGAGAGGACAAACACCCTGTCACTTTGGGAGGGGACAAACACCCTGTCACTTTGGGAAGGGCCAAATACCCGTGTGCTTGATTGATCCATGTCTCAAATTCTTCTCTGTTTCCTTCCTGAACACACAAGTCTCGGGAGGATGTGTTGTAAACAGAGTGGTCCCCACTCTCCTTGGACACAAAGGACATTTCAGAGCAACCCCCAGCAGCTCCTGGGGTTATGGGTGAAATGCACACCTCGTGTTCACCATTGCAAAACTCCAGTCCAGAAAATGTTTTGAAAATAGAAGCATCAACCCCTTGGAAGTTAACTTGGTGCCTACTTTTCAAATATTTTTCTTCTGATTAAAAATTATAATATATTCATAAAAACCACTTAATGTAGTAATAAATAAATTAAAATGGAAAGTCTGCATGATTAGAGAATCCATTTGTCCTGGTTTGGCTGGAATAGCCAGGGTTACCCGTGCTGCTCCAGGCGGGGGGGTGACTGCTAGAGCCTCCTTTTGCTCTCCAAAGGAGCTGGTTGAGCACAGCCATCACCAAGGTGTGAGCTGGGGACAGAATAAGGGTCAGGCTATCACCGAAGCTTGCTCGGTTCTGGTCATTTGGACAAAGTGGGGACAGCATTCACACTTTTCCCACGTGTCAGGATTGCTTTAAATACAAGTTAGATGTGAAAAGACTGTAAATTGAAACCTACGTACAGCTAACAACAAAAACAAAAACAGTCATCCAGGATGGACCATGAATGGCCCACATCACCCCTTCCCCTTTGCCCTTTGCCCTCATGTCCTGCGGTGTGGGAGCAGGGGACCTCCTTTTAGTCTCATAATTCAGATTCTACCTTTAAAGCCACCCTTAGAAGTGTCAAAAAAGAAATGACCGGGCGAACTGACCACAGGGCTGCGTACTCTCCCAGTCCTTGCACGAATCCTGATGTGGCAGATCCTCACAGCACCTCACAAGGTAGTTACCCACTTTCCAAATGGGGAAACTGAGGCATAAAGAGTTTGGAGATCTTGCCCAAAGCTGCATAAGAGGTGAAGCTGGGATTTGAACCAGGCGGCCTAGGCTCAAGGCCAGTACTCTTATGCTAGGCTACACTACAATGCTCCCTGCTCCGCCCAGAGTGTGTGCCTGAGCGCCTGGCACGTCCCGCTCTGCTCCCTGCGGCAGCAGCCTCGGCACAACACTAGCTCTTGCCTGCAATATTGCCCCAAAGGATTCCTTGTGCAGACCTCACAGACCTGGACCCTCCACTGTTCTATGCCAGCAGCCAGGGAGCCAGACAGATCCATGTTCTGACCCTGACACCCGGCTTACCCGCACCCTCTGCATTTCCATGCTTCCATGACGCCCCCAGGCCTCCACTGGGCATGCAAGGCTCTCTCAAGCCTTTGCAGCCTCAGCACCTTCCTCTCCACACTCCCGGCAGGCACTCCACACTACAGACACCTCTCGCCCACCTGGGCCAACTGTCCCAGGCCCCTGGCAGCACCTGCCCTGGAAGCCACCCTGCCTCTCACTGCCATAGCAGAACCCTGTTCTGTGTCTTCCCTGCAATCCCCTCCCACTCCTGCCCTTCTCCTACAATCCTAAGCACTTTGTCTTTGCTCTTCTGCCAGGTGGTGTGAAAGTCACAGGGGCCCAGTAGCTCTGTACACAGTGGGCTGTCATCTCACACTGAGGCAGACGACGCATTGCCTTGAATGCTGCTCCATGGCAGTGCTGGGCATGGGACAGAGTCTCCTGATTATCGTTTGTTGATTGAATGAACAAATAAATGAGTGCTCTGTGCCCCCGCTCCCTGGGACTCCAGAAGTGCTGGTTTCGGATGTTCATGATATTACATCCATCAAGTTCATTAACATGAACTGCTTACCATGTCTGTCCAATAACCATGGAAGCAGAAGCACGTGTTTATCTTATTAAATCTAGCTTACTTTGCTTTTAGGTGTGTGTACATGGGTGTGCTGGGGGAGGGGGGTGGGCAGGATCAGGAAGCATAAGGAGGAAAACGCTCTAAAGTAGAAATGGGGAAGATTCCAAAGCCTCACACTTTAGGCAGGACAACAGGAAATACCTTTTCAGGACAGGGAGGGGGCTGAGCATTGGGTGGGCAGAGAGAACAGCAGAAAAGAGGAGTCCAGCAAGATGGGACAGCTCCCAGCACCTCTGCCTTGGTCCCAGAGGAGGCTGTCTGCTAAGGGGCCGTTTAAGGGTCTCCCTAAGTCCAAGAGTAAAGGAAAAAGCCCCCATACTCCTCCTCCCACCCAAATCTGAGGCTCCCCTTGTTCCCTTCCACTAAACACTGGCATCATCTAAAATGACAAAGGTGTCATCTTGCCCTTTCTGGGAGAAGGGTCTCTCCCTTAGGGACAATGATGTCAATGAGACCAGAGGAAAGGACAGACCAACTCAGAGAGTGCACATAAAGGGGTGGAGAAGTGCCAGGCCAAATATTCCCGAGGAGTCCGCTTGGGTGGCAGAAACTGGAGACCGGCTGTGTCAACTACGGAGCTGCACCAGCGCCGACCACGCCACACCCCCATCCCAAGCCTGGGCGAAGAGCAGGGGCAGCCTCCAACCCCTTTCTGGGAAAGGGCACCTGTGGTTGGCCTCAAGCATCCTTACGCTTCCCCCACCCCGAGCCACCCAGCCTGACAACTGGACCCAGCCCAGGAGGGAGGCCACTTCCAAACTCACCAGAGACCTTTCTGGGGGCTGTGTTGAAGGTAGGAGGAGGCCACCGCCTCACAAAGGTGGGGTTAAAGCCAGCCGGGCCCCTAAAAGTCAGCGATACCTTGAGAATAATTTTCCAAGACAAACCGCCACTTCAGGACTTCCGCCGCACCCGGGACAGCTAGGGAGCCAGGGCTGGCTTGGGGGCTGCCTGCGGAGGTTCCGCCCCGGTGAGCTCACAGTCCCTGGAGTTTTGGGGGAGGGGGAAACCCAGGCAGGAACCTCAACGCTTCCCCGCTACCCCCTTAGGCAGGCACATTTCAGAGACCTGGGCTGGAGCCCCCACGTGGGTGACTGGCAGGGTCACAAAGTGCGGGTTCCCAGGCGTCCGGCTCTAGCACCTGCCACTGTCTTCTCACGTGGAGCCCGCGCACGGAGCGCCCAGGTTGGCTTTCTTCCGTGGCATCTCTACCTGCGCCTGCCCACCCCCATTCCCTGCAGCCACCACACCTCAACCCCTCGGAAAACTAAGCGAAAAGGCCCCAGATCCAATTGTCAGGGTCGGTGGGGGAGGGGGAAGGTGCGGGAGAAGCAGGAAAAACTGGGGCCCCCTGACGGCCTGGAATTCAGCACCACACGGAGGGAGCCTCAGGTTCGCCTGTATAATGTGGGTCTGATGATGGGACAGGTCGTCGCGAGGATTGAAGGGGCGGGGGAGAGGATGGCCAGTGTGCGGCAATTGGCTCCGGGTGTTCCGGGTGGTCCGGGGCCAATCCCGGCCCCTCTTTACCCAAACGGAGGACTCGGAGACCCCCGACCCCGCGGCTGCAGTCCCAGGGTGCGGGGCAGGGGAGTGGACGCCTGGGGGCTGGAGAAGACAGGGTCTGTGACCCTGGGTGGCGGAGCAGAGCGAAGCGGCCGGTCGGCTGGGGGCGGAGGGGGCGTGTCGCCGGGGCGGTGCCGCAGGGGGAGCGGGTGGCGTCTGCAGCGGGGCGGGGGCGGCCGAGGTGGGGAAACGGGTCGGAGGACCAGGGCGGGGCGGGGCGAGGCGGGGCACTGGCACCCCGGAGTGGGGGTACGGAGGGGCCCGGGCCGGTGTGAAGCAACAGGGACCCCGCGGCCGTGGGCGCGCGGCGCAGGGATTGGCTGCGCTCCCGGGCGCCCGCCACCCGCTATTTAGGCGGAGCAGGCTGAGAGCCACGCGTCTGCGCGCGACACCCCGCCCCACCGGCCGCCCGCGGTCTCTCGCGCTGCGCTCGCTCTGTGTCGCTCTGCCGCCGGGGCCCGGCACCCCCGGGCATGAGCGCCCCCGCGACGCTGCCCCCTGAGGGAGAGGAGGGGCTGGAGACGGCCTGGCCCCCCGCAGCCAACGCCAGCCAGGCTCCCGCAGAAGATGCGGTGGCGGCGGGGACAGGGGGCTCGGGGGCGGCGGGCATGGTCACCATCCAGTGTATCTACGCGCTGGTGTGCCTACTGGGCCTGGTGGGCAACGCCCTGGTCATCTTCGTGATCCTTCGCTACGCCAAGATGAAGACGGCCACCAACATCTACCTGCTCAACCTGGCCATCGCGGACGAGCTGTTCATGCTGAGCGTGCCGTTCGTGGCCTCGTCGGCCGCCCTGCGCCACTGGCCCTTCGGGCCGGTGCTGTGCCGCGCGGTGCTCAGCGTCGACGGCCTCAACATGTTCACCAGCGTCTTCTGCCTGACCGTGCTCAGCGTGGACCGCTACGTGGCCGTGGTGCACCCTCTGCGCGCGGCCACCTACCGGCGGCCCAGCGTGGCCAAGCTGATCAACCTGGGAGTGTGGCTGGCGTCCCTGCTGGTCACCCTGCCCATCGCCATCTTCGCAGACACCAGGCCGGCTCGCGGGGGCCAGGCTGTGGCCTGCAACCTGCACTGGCCGCACCCGGCATGGTCGGCGGTCTTCGTGGTTTATACTTTCCTGCTGGGCTTCCTGCTGCCGGTTCTGGCCATCGGCCTGTGCTACCTGCTCATCGTGGGCAAGATGCGGGCCGTGGCGCTGCGGGCTGGCTGGCAGCAGCGACGGCGCTCGGAGAAGAAGATCACTAGACTGGTGCTGATGGTCGTGGCCGTCTTTGTGCTCTGCTGGATGCCTTTCTACGTGGTGCAGCTGCTGAACCTCTTTGTGACCAGCCTTGATGCCACAGTCAACCACGTGTCCCTCATCCTCAGCTATGCCAACAGCTGCGCCAACCCCATTCTCTATGGCTTCCTCTCCGACAACTTCCGGCGTTCCTTCCAGCGGGTTCTCTGTCTGCGCTGCTGCCTCTTGGATGCTGCTGGCGGGGCGGAGGAAGAGCCCCTGGACTACTACGCCACTGCTCTCAAGAGCAGAGGTGGGGCAGGATGCATGTGCCCCCCGCTCCCCTGCCAGCAGGAGCCCGTGCCACCAGAACCCAGCCGCAAGCACATGCCCCTCACCAAGACCACCACCTTCTGAAGAGCCTTCACCACCCACCTGGCTTGGCCACCTCCTAAGGGGTGGGCACCACGTTACAGCCTAGCAGACTGCATCTCCCGGATGCTCATCTAAGGACTACGACCTGTCCCTACCAAAGCCTTCTCCTTCCAGCAGTCGATGTGCCATGGCCAAGAGCATCAGATCCCCTCTGCTGTTCTCCTCTGCACAGAGCTCCAGCTTTAGAAGGATGCCTCCATGGGGGTAGGACTGCTCTGGGTACTGGGCTAGAGTATTTATTAATCATTCCTGAACCTCTGGCTGATTTTCAAGGGGTGGGAAGCAGGAGGTGGCAAAAGAATGGCCACCTGCCTATGACTTGTTACAGTGACTGCTTGGGAACAGACTCCAGAGGGTGGAGGGGGGTAGTGCCCTCCCTCTCCGCAGACTCTCTGCCTTGTGGGGGGAGCACAGCATGCATAGAGAGACAGGGGAGGGAGGAAGATGCCCCCAAGCTCACTCCCTTTGCATCTATTCCTGGGCTCTTGTTGCTAAGTGAGACTTATGTGCAACAGTCTGGGGCACTTTCTTTGTCACCCCACCAAGTCCGACACCTGCTCGCAATCACACGAGTCCCCCAGGTTTTCCTGGGCCAGAAGCAGTCTTCCTGTGAGTAGAAAAGATTCGGAGCGACATGACATGGAGTTTGTTGCAAGACATAAAACCAGGTCAGTAATAAAAAACAGTAAAGAGAATAAAATCTCATCTAGCTGCTATGATGTAATTTTTTGTCCCTGATTCTTTGTTATAGAAACATGAGACCTCATTAAAGCAGCGATTTATGCCGGTGGTGAGTGGGAGGGGAGCCGGGGTGGGGAAAGTAGACCAGAGAGTGTGGGGATGGAAACCAGCCCAGGTTTGGGATAGAAGAGGCAGCTCTGTCACTTTCTATTTTAAAATATCAACATTCATTAAAACATCAGCTGCATGTAGATAGTAACATGTAAGATGAACACAAAAGACCATAACTTTTTACCTAATATATAAACCAAATGGTAAACTAGCTGTCTCAAAAGGAAAAAGTCAGCTTAAGAGGAGCCTGAGTTCCACTTTCTGCCAGAAGCAGAGGAGGAGGCTAAGGAGAAGCTCTCAACGCTTACATTGGCATCTGGGGTGAAAACCAGATGGGTCTAAACATGGATGGGATGCTGTTTGGCACCACCTGGCTTAGCATCGCAAAAGCTACTTCTGGGTTTGACTGACCTGACCCTGCTGGAGAAGATATGCCAAGGGTGTGGGTAGGGGGACACCATGGGGTGAGCCTCTCTGCTCTCCAGGGTGGTCAGCTTCTCAGCGCCCCCAGTGACCAGGCAGGAGGACTTGGAGAGAAAACACCCTGGACCTGTCAGCCTAGCAGGCGATGCCTGGCTCCTGGCCTTCTAGGACACATGAGAGCTGACGCAGGTAGGACCAATGGAGCAGGGCCAGCCCGAGAGGATGCTCCACTCCCACAGGTGGCCAGAGCCCAGGGTCAGCAGGATGAGGCCCTCCTCCGGGGTGCTGGTCTGGAGACAGAGTTTCATACAATGTGAGCAGCTGCTGGATGAGTGCTAAACACACAGGAGAGCTGAGTGCTGGTCCTATTATACTTAAAAAAGTTGCGTGACCCAGGAGAGGGACTGTCATCCCCCAGGTCCTCAGAGCTCTCCTGTAAAATCAGCAGGTCCTTCCAGCACTAGCACATGCCAGCTCCTATGCTTTTGTCCATACTGCTGTAGATGCCAACTTCCCCCTTACAACATGAAAAGGAAAGGCCTTGCCTCAACTGCCTTTGGTGTCTATAACCCATATAGCTATTAAACACTTGCCCCCTTCAGCCAGCAGAATGATCTGAGAGTGTTAATCCATGTTGATCCCATGTTCATCTTAGGGTCGGTGGGCATGCAGGTGTTTACAGTCCATAAAAATGGTCTACATCCATCTCTGACAGAATTGTGTTGCCAAGTCTGTATTGCATGCCAGAGACATGGCTGTGGCTTGGATGCTTCTAACTAAGGCACGGAACCCTTTGATCCCACAGCATGCATGCCCACACACACAGACGCCCACCTCCCCTAACTTACCAGCACCCACCAGAGTGACCTTGGACATCCAGAGTAAGTCAGCGCCCATGTGTGTGGGCCTTAGGTAAGGGCAACTTCTTGGAGGTTTTTAAGACTGAACTTGTGCCCCAGTGCCTGGGACCTGATGCATGTGGGTGAACTGAACTGCAAAGAACACCCAGGCTGACAGCAGCAAAGCAAAGCAGGGGTTCATGGCACTGGCAACGGTCCCTGATGGGCATGGGGTGCTGGGCCTTTGGGATCCTTTTGGGGATGGGGATCCCCTCCTCAGTCTCCCAGTGACTCATAGGGGCAAAGTCTCCAATAAGCAAGATGGAGTGCTGACCAGAAGCCTTGGCAACACTCATGTTCAGCTGCGCAGGTCAGCACAGAATAAATAAGACACATTTTACTTTAAAACTGCAAACCTTTTTAACTTAGTTGATGATGGTTGAAGGAGAGGCAGTGTCAGGTGATAGAAAGAAAAGTCCCTGGGAGGCAGGAGACCTCAGCTTCAGCCGCCCCATGAGCAGTGATTTAATCTCTCTACGCCTCAGTTTTCCCCTTGAAATATGCACAAAGGGACGTTTTGACTTTTTAGTTAGTTCTTCCCAGCTGTAAACTCTGCTTTCTCAGAGACACTCCTGGAGGGCAGGGCCCACCCCATCACTAGTAAGAAATGAGCATGAACACAGCCATCAACCCTGCAGCTATAAATCCTGCAAGGAGCGGGGGGATCCTGTCGGTTGTTCCGTTCTTCAGCTGGGGAGCTTTTGCAATTCTTGGAGCTCGACAGCTCAGCAGCAGCGAAGTATCCAGTATCCTGAGCGTCTGTCCAGGGTGTGTCTGGAGCCTGTCAGCAGTACAGCTGGCTTTGGTTGCCATTGACCCTGAGGTCTTTGTAAGAACCGGTTGCATAAAACCCTCCCTCCTCGTTCGTGTGCAGCAAGATTGCAGTAATTGAAGTCAGGGAGCTGTACAGCCAGGGTCCCAAGGGCCACTGGCACACTTCCCCTGCCTGGGAAGCCGGCACAGAGGCACATCTTGATGGTCGTCTTGTCCTGCCTGCTAGGACCGGGAGTGGCAGCTTTCGGCTTCAACGTGAATGAAAACATTTTATGCTACAGGTGGGAACGGCTTTCGCCTACCCCTCAATCTGTCAGAGAAGTTGCCTTGCCTTTCTAAATTGCCTTTAATTTACTGTTCCGTGACAAGCCAGGTGTTCCATTTTTCCAGACAGTGGGGAAGATGGCATTTGGACAGGACAGGCGGTCACTCAGCAGATTCCTGCCCAGTTTCTCAGCAGTCTTCTTTGACCAGAGAGGAGCACACTTTTTTACTCATCTGTGAATTCTTGACTTTACTTGCATTAAAAGCACCATACCTGGCATTCTTAGGTGCTACAGGCTGCTGCCAAGGATGAATCAAATGCAGCATGCTCCGGCTGCACAGCCTCAGAAATGAATCCCAGCAAATTTGGCTACTGAAGCTCTTCTCTGACAGGTTGTAGGTTGTGAATCACCCCATCTCTCTCACCCTCTCACCAGAGGCAGATGACAGTATAGCCTCCAATTGCTGAAAGCACAAATGTCAGAATCCTAAGCCTGTGTTTTCTGAGACGACTCTACTGTGTCGTATAATGTCAGCCAGCACCGAACCCTGGAACCTCTGCCCCGTTGATCTGTGTGCAGGTGGGACACACTGGACAGTTCAAAGTGCATCTGTCAGACAGGGCAGTCAGCTTCAAGACAACATGGTGAGTCTGCACAGACAGGAGCTTGGAGGTCAGCGGCAAAAGATTGACATTAATCAAACAACCACAGAAATGAGAGTGCAAATAAGCACTCTACAGGAAATGAATCCGATTTCCATGAGATGATATCATAAAAGAACCTGCCCTTGTCTCCTTGGGGGAGTCTGATCTCCTTGGGGATCAGACTCCCCCAAGGAAGGTTGCTGGAGACCGCTTCCTCTGAAGGATACATAGGAAATACTAGGAGAGGAAAGGGAAGGGCACAGGGTGGGGTGGGCCCCAAGCTGAGGGAACAGCGTGTGCAAAGGGCCCGCAATGGCAGGCACTGAAGGGCCCCTATGTGACAGGACAGAGACAATGGGTGGTGATGCCAATCAGCTAGAGGCACTGGCAGACACTGATGGGTGGAAAACAATTAGCATTGCCTTATGAGCCGCCTTAAGGATTAGGACTTTGTCCTAAGGGACGTGGGTCAGTGGTGACAGGCTCTAATGAGGGGCTTGGGTCTACCTGGCAAGAGACGCTCACCAAGAGTTCTGAGGTCTTTGTGAAACTGGGGCTCGCCTGCTGCCACTCTTCAGGGAGGGGTTGGTGGACCATCGTGTCTTTCTTTTCATTTCAACTTTCATCAACTTTGTATCAACTGAAAGGCAAGGTCCCCAGTCATATGAATGGATTGACTTCGGGTCTAACAGCAAGGGCATTTTTTAAAATGGGGGAGAACCAACATTAAAAAAAAAAAATCCAGATCATTAACGGTGTTGCCTGCAATGGGAGTGCTGACTTTGTACAAATAAAGACGTGTAGCTTCTTATTATCAAAAGACACCATGAGCATCAACGCACTGCAACACAGGGCTTGAAATGACTGGATTCTTCAGGCTCTATCTGCCCGGAGAGTGGTGCTGCCCAAGTTCAGTGCTGGCTGTGACACACGCAGACCACGTGCCTGGCCCCAGAAGAAGTCTGTCCATTCAGATGGCGACTGCTTCAGGACCAAACAACAGAGAGGGATTTCCATGAGATGATATGGAAGGAGGAAGAGGGAGCTGGGTGCAGAGTAGGGCTTCTTTATTTCATTTTGTTTTAATCAGGCTTTCATTAGATGTGCTGAAGAGGCTGTGATTTCTCTTTAATCTATTTTTATTGAACTATAATTTACATATGGTAGAATTCACTTTTTTTTAGGTGCATAGTTCTCCAAATTTTGACATGCAATTACAGTTGAGTGACTGCCACCCTAATCAAGGCAGGGATTGTTTCCATCGCCACCTACTTCCCTCTTCATGGCTGTGACTTGTGGCTTAAGGAGGGGGCATGTGGGGGTGCAGAATGGTGGATGGTGCAATCCCCAAATCCAGGGAGGCCACCTGACAATACCATTTTCTAAGTTCCTCTCCCCAGACTGGGAGAGCTCAATCAATTTACTCAGGAAACTGGTGCTCTTTTGACCTCCCAAATTTGAAAAAAAAATTCATCCTGAATTCCAGAAACTACCTGGACAAACTAGGGGTTTGAGTATATCCCTGGGCAAGTTGCTGATTTTGTAATGACCTTGTACTCCTTTACTCTGAGCACTGGAGAGAGAGTACAGCCCCTACTCCAAGCCCCTTTCCAGATAGACTGATCAGAGTATCCCTCAAGACTCAGCCCCATCAGAAAGCCATCATTTCCATTAATTCCAGGCCTGTGGACAGCTTGCCATTGAGTTTGTGCAGCTTTCTTCATTTTAGCTTCGTGTTTATTGTGGCTATATTTTGTGCTCTGGAGAGTCACAAATTAAACAGAGACACTGGGACCCACCCCAAGCCCTTCTCGGACTTCCCTTTCTCCTGGCTTCACTGCCGGATTTCTGCAGTGCCACCTCTTAGAGGAGGGCAAACATGTTTGGAGAAAGATGGGAGTCAAATCCCAGCAAAGAATCATCGTG